TTAATCACACATATTTGAATTTTGGAATGTATTAGATTAATATTCTTTTGTAACTTGGTTCAGTACTAATGCTATGAAAAGCACTCTCTGAATGCAGCCCACTGAGAAGGGCTTGCCTTGGAAAAGTTAAAGCATCCAGGCCATCTGCAGGTGAGGGACAAAGGGCATACCTCTTCCTTAGCAGGTAACCATGGGAGCCGGACACGCAATTCCCAAAAGCAGCTCCTTTGGACTAAAATCAGGGGGCAGGCTCCTGAAAAAAAATACCATAAAAGGCGTGATAGTCATGTCATGCTTGAGCTTGCTTTTCGATGCTCTATGAAAGGATTTGCTTTCTACTGCTTAGTAAAGAAACAGGTTTTGAGAGGTGAGGAAGAGGTCTGTCCATCATATCACTCTTTACAGCCCATTTTACCCCATGGATGAGTTTAGCTTGAACCTCAGTATTCCTCCTCAGTGGAGTGGTTGGTAATGAGAAATATAATACAAAAACCACTCCTAATTTTGGTTATTAAATAATTCCAGTTTTTCTATATCAACGTCTGCTGTGATTCAATAGGATGATAGAAGGAAAATGGATTCTTAAAAATGACAGCTACAACAAGCAAAAATGTCACCCAAATCTAAATATCAACTGCCATATATTCATATTCTCCTTTGTCTCCCTGTAGCCCATTACAATGCTGAAAAATACACCAAAGCAACTGCAGTACCAAACTCTCCAATTTTTGGTGTGTGGCCAGCTCCATAAATTTGCATTTAAACAAATAAAATCCAGAACAGCATAGTACGACTTTTTTTTTCTTTTTTTTTTTTTCTTTCTTTTTTCCCCTGAAATGGTTCTTCAAGCAAATTTAAAGAGGCTCTGTCAGTTCAGGGACCACATTTCCATCTAGGGTGGGTTTTTTTCCTTTTTACCCATTCATGATGTAATGTAACAACTATAAACACCAGAAATTAGAGAAATTGGAGAGGGGGTGGTGGTGTATTTTATTCTTTGTGTCCATTTTGTGGTTTTATGGTGTTCCCTGCACAATCAGGATAACCTGCTCCTCAGTGCCACAGCCCCCATTGTCTCCAGGGATCTTTCACAGTGGAAGAAAAAAGAAATAATTAAAATGCAGAAGCTTTAAATTGCAAAGAACACTTGTGGCTTTGCTGCAAACTGCTCCTAGCCGATATATTTTAACAGACGAAATAACAAAGTGAGGGTGCCCCTTTAAAACGTGTCTCACCCATTAATATCTTTCTTTTTTCCCCTGAAATGGTTCTTCAAGCAAATTTAAAGAGGCTCTGTCAGTTCAGGGACCACATTTCCATCTAGGGTGGGTTTTTTTCCTTTTTACCCATTCATGATGTAATGTAACAACTATAAACACCAGAAATTAGAGAAATTGGAGAGGGGGTGGTGGTGTATTTTATTCTTTGTGTCCATTTTGTGGTTTTATGGTGTTCCCTGCACAATCAGGATAACCTGCTCCTCAGTGCCACAGCCCCCATTGTCTCCAGGGATCTTTCACAGTGGAAGAAAAAAGAAATAATTAAAATGCAGAAGCTTTAAATTGCAAAGAACACTTGTGGCTTTGCTGCAAACTGCTCCTAGCCGATATATTTTAACAGACGAAATAACAAAGTGAGGGTGCCCCTTTAAAACGTGTCTCACCCATTAATATTCTAGCGTGCTTTGCTTACTGTGTTTATAAAATGCCAGTATTGAGGTTTCCCAGGAATTTCAAGCCTACCAAGATATCCAGTGCTGAGCACAGCCCAATCATTTCTAGAAGAGGCCAGGATTTAAAATAAAATAAAAACCTGGCAGTGTGGTTAGAGATGAAATCAAAGAGGGAAGTCAGGTCTGAGGTGCAGAGCAGAGCCCTATCCTTATGGGTTTGGGACAACAAAGAGGGGCACCATTCCTGCCCTGGGGACCCCAGCTCCCAGTAGGGGCCAGGGGCCAGCTTGTTCCTGGTTTTGCCGGGAGGAGGCTCATAGCTTCACCCACCACTTCCAGACAAAGAAATTAACCCCTCGGGTATGGGCACTGGGGCTGTGCAGAGCTTTGGATTGGGCCCCTTTCCTACTTTCAGCTTGACACCATCTGGCCAAAATTGATCCTAAAACTTGCTGGTGCTGCATTGAGGAGACTTAGACCGATAACCGGTTGTGGGTTTTTGGTTCTCCTGCTTATCCTTTTCTGAAGAGGAGCCCACAATTATGCCCAGAAGCACACGACCTGCTGCAGGCTTCACAGGACGCAAAGGCATCTATGGCATATTCACCTCTCCCCAGCCATTGGCTGCTCTTGAAAATGTTTGCTATATTTTCCTTAGGTTTCAGCATGTCACAGTGCAGAAAGCTGTCCCTTTAACAGGTCTTTAAAATTTTCATCTTATTCTTTTCTAAAGGTAGTAAGAAATAGCTGGAAGGGTTCAATACTAAGATCCTAATTTCAGAAAGTCAAAACATCAGCATTTAAAATCATAATTCACCCTATGCAGATTCCAGACTTCTTATTTTCTTATTTGAGTAATGAACAATAATTTCTATTATTGATGTCTGGTTTTTTAGGGTGGTAGTGTTTAAATAATTTCTTCCATCTCTCTGAAGGAAAAGGGAAAGAGTTATCACATGGAGAAAGGTGGGCTTGTGTTTTATATTCATAGACCTGATGTTAAACCTATACAAAGACAAAACTAGAAATTTCCAGGGATAGCATTTCACTATCTTTTTCAGCCAGAGATACAAGAAGTCAGTTGCCTATTTCCACATTTGACTTTCTAAGAAGTGGCCACTTTTTCTCTTTTTAAATACTCATTTTTCACAGTTCTTGATGAAGTCAAATAAAGGGGTAAATGCCCAATACCCTTTGAAAAATAGTCCTTTTCCTGCAGTACCCCTTTTCTTTGCCTGTATGGACTCCCTGTATGAAAAAGCTGGCCCTGCCACACAAAATAAATAGATGACCCTACAAACGCTGCTCGCATGCCCCAGCAATGAAGCACGAGTCAGAGTATTCAAAACCAAGTGTCAAGAAAACCCAAGTAGCAAACAGCAAAACCATCTTCCTAACTTAAAGTGGGGTTGCCACAGGTTAGGTTTTTGGATTTATAGATAATGGATATGAAAATCAAGACAGAAAAGTTTTTACTAACTTGCTCACTAACTGTATCTCAGTGGTCACAAAACGTTAAAAATGAACATTCAAGCTAAACACAGAGAGAGTTTCAAAAGTGTCTTTTGGTTATACTATTTTATTTGCTATATTTCTCACTAGAACAATATTATTCTGTTTGTATTTAGTGTTGGTTTTATTGTCAAATAATTATTCTTTCTGGTATCAGATTGCATGATTATTTTGTATTTATCCCTCCAGATACGTATCATGAGCATTTATTTTCCTTATTTTTATCTAATTTATAGCTACTAAAATTTGGAATTCGTAGTTCCACATCGTCTTCACAGAACTGTAAGACACAAGCAGGAATAAAAATAAAAACATACCTTTTTATCAAGCAGACTGCTAACCAAAAGGATAAAAAATAATATTTGTGCATTTCTAAATAGTCCTGTAGGAGTCATATACTTTTATTACATGCTCTATATCATATCATTTCTCCCTCTCTTACAAACCTCTGATCACTTAAAAAAAAGAACTTTCAAAAACATTAAGGCACAAACCTTTGTATGGAGTACTTTTAGTATGCTTTTGATTCTGACAAGATTAATAATTATCCTATATGCATGACACAGTGTTTTTAAATGTTTCTGCTATGAGTTAGGATCGTGCATATAGGTATAAAAGTGGAAAGAATGGTTATTTCACAGCAGAGAAATGTATATTTAAATAAATTGTGATTAAATGGTGAAGCTGTTTAAAAAGGAAAAAAGCTTTTTTTTTTTTTTTTTTCTGTCACAGTTATTCTGGGTTTAAAATATCTGTAGGGAGCTTCAGAAGGGCACTGGGGATTTTTAATGAAAACACAAGCTACTGAAATTTATGGGAGATAACTGGGGGAAGCATAGCAAATGTCCCGGGACTCTGGGCAAAAGTGGCCAGAAAGGGACCTGATGTGTGGCAGGAGAAAATTGTATTCACTCCCTACCCCCACCAAACCACCTTCTTCTGGGCCAGCTGCGACTAGATGCTGGTGCAAACCAGGTTATAGACTAACCAGACTTTTGCTGTCCTTCAATGGGACAGTTTCTAAGTGCTCACAGCCCTCATGACAGCTTGAGCCTCTCCTAGGACTCGCAACTGCCCTTTTCACTAAGCTCATACTCATCAGCACTTTCCATCAGTACAAATACATGGTTTTTTGCCCAACTGTTTATAATGCCCAGTCACATCTATCCTATGTAGCGACTGCAGTTATTGCTGGGCTGGTTCACCAGGGACAAAGAGGATAGATAGAATCTAACCCTGAGATGGCATTGGGTCTAAGGACAAGGTCAACGTGGCCTGTAGACCCAACGCCATCCACACCAAATAAATCCTAAAATAACCCCTCGGCTGATATTAAGGTCCAGTGCAGACACATCAGAGAGCCGACTGAGGGCCAGATCCTGCTCATTGCAATGAGACAAAACTCCAGATGGCTCCAGTGAACAGGACAAGTGGGATTTGGATCATCTTGAGGAGCACAAGGTTTTACTTCCAGAGGCTGAGCTGTACTTGCTCATTGGAGCAGAGCAGTGCAATGATGGAGTCAATAGACCTTGTACTACAGAGAGAACCGAGGGCTACACTTTCTTCCTGCTAAAACCAAGAACAAGGCAGGTGTTGGCACCGCAATTTGCCCCTGAGCTTTAGTGCTGGGATTCAGCTCTGCTGCACTTTCTCTACTAACTTTCCTTGCAGGAGTAATTTTTAAGTAATGTAATGCCAAGTGCCAGAGGGCTCACTTTTTACAACATCAAGCTGAATCATATCAGCTCCCATTCTAAATTTAAAATATGATTGCATTACTTGACTTCATACTTTTTATGAAGGTCCCGCTGTGATGCCGTTTCACAAGGTAGAAAAGCCGATGCAGGTAATACAGGCCCTATCAGTTCATTTCACCTCACTAATCAGCTACTTAAAAATGTTTTCCTTGAAACACTGTACAAAAATAAAATGAATGGTCTTTTTTTATCATTTCCCAAATTAAATTCATATTCCATAATGACCATATTTCATGTGCAAAATAACAAAATACGTTTACATACCTGACTTCACTTTTTTAGTGAACTGCTTGATTTGTAAAATGTTGCATATAAAATTGGAACCTAAAATGAATTACTTGTTTTTTCTTGATATGAAACCTTGTTTAAGTTCACAGCAATTTTTAAAATGATACATTTAAAATATTAATATTTCCCATATATTATTCACTGACTTCCAGGTTTCATCTCAAGTTAGTGGCACTTCATATTTCAAAGGAAGAAGTGTATCTTTTTTTCAGTACTAATGTCTATTAATTCACTTTGTAATATCATTCTGGTTCAGACAAATGAGATTGCACTAAATTGCTTATGCCAAGAATCATGCTAAAGCTGCTGGTATTATATAAAATTTCATATTCTATCACTATTTTATAAGTGGTATTTTATCTCAGTGGCATCTTTTTAGGCATAATTCATAGCCCTGTTTAGTTAATCCTAGAAAGACAAATATATGCACAATTATTTTTATGTTGAGATGGGGGTGTATGCAGATATTTACAGTAAAGTCTGTAACTTTAGCGATTTTTGCAAGGTACACGATGCAAACTCCCAGTGAACTACCTTGACGGATTTTTCTTTATGAACATTTTTAATTTGGGGCAGTTTTCTCTTCCAGCATGTATTTCATCACACGCGTGTATAAACATGCATGTATGTGCACATATACATTCATGAAAAATAGATTTCTGTGGGTGTAGAAATACTTAAAATGCCTCATATGCATATTACGCAACATATGCCATTCATGTAACCATTAAATATCTAAATAAAATACATTTTATAGATATTAATAACATATGTGCAGGAAGTCCTTAAAGGACCTATAAAGGCCTAAACATAGAGGGATTCTTCATCACATCCAAAGAACTGCAAGAACTGTAGATATAAAACAGAATCTTTTTATACGACAAGGTATCTTTTATAATCTTTCCATAAATTCCACATGGCCATGTAACTATTTCCAAAGATATGGATGGAAGTTATACCTGGACAGGCTGAAAATGTTTAAAGAGTAAAGCAGCGTCTAATCCTATGAAATGCCCTTCAGGAGTGAAATAATTACAAAGCACTGGAGCAAGAGTAGCAAACAGCAGTAAGCACATGTAAGGAACCATAAATATACTTCAGTATTTGTATAGTAGACTTTCTCTGAGTGTCATCAAAATCAGGTGTTCAGGAGTTAGAAATCCAACTTCAAGGACTGCAGATTAATACGTTTACATGAATATATAGTCTGTGCCTTAAACTGGAAGTTTGCAACATTGTTAATAATTTATGCCTCTTTTAAACACCTGGTATTTGTTTCCTTTGCATTTTTAAAAAATAAGACTATTTTTTCTTTAAATTTGATCCAACTCTTTAAAAAAATAAATCGCAAAAAAGCTGATGCAAATCCCTGTCACTTGTGAACACAATGAAATTTTATGGAGAAGAGTGAATACAGGAGTGTCTCCTCCTCAGAAACAGAAATGAATGCCTTGCTCCTATACGGTCCTCAAACGTCAGGATTCTGAAATATGAATTAGACCTCAAATGCAAATTAACCTCGGAAGGGGGGGAAGGGGG